GAAGAGGCAGCTTGACGAGGTCCAAGGGGAACCACTAACGTTCCCAGGCCTGCGCATCAGGACACCTGGTGAAAAATCCCACAGTCGCTATCCCAGGACCCAGAGCAAACCCCACCCAACTCAGGACCCCTGTGTCCTCCATCTGCAAAGCAGGTCGGGGGGGCAGACTGGCCCATCCTGAAGGTCTCCACCCGCTCTGAATGCTCAGGAGTCAGAGATCGTGATCCGCAGAGAGACAATGGGCTACACGTCTGCTTGGCATCAATTGTTTGCACACACCTGGATGACATCAGTTTCTGCACACACTTGGATGACATTACCTGTCCACACACCTGCATGGCACCACTTGTCCCTTTTTTTAAAGTGTTATTTATTTTTAAAATCCTCACCTGAGGATATTTTTCCACTGATTTTTAGAGAGAGTGGAGGAGAGAGGGGAAAGACAGAGAGAAACATCAATGTGAGAGAAAACACATCAATTGGTTGCCTCCTGCACGAGCCCTGACCACGGCCCAGGCCGGGGAGGAGCCTGCAACCAAAGTACATACTCTTGACCGGGAATCGAACCCAGAACCCTTCGGTCTGCAGGCCAACGCTCTAGCCACTGGGCCAAACCGGCAAGCATGTCAAACTCAAAGGCTAACATGGGCCAAATAAAGGAGGCATATGGCCTGAGGCCTGTGAGTTTGACATGCTTGCTTTACAGCTTCTCTTTCGTTTTTCTCTCCAAGAGTCTGGCCTTCCTACATATTAGGCCCTTGGATTCGCAGTCCGCTAAGGGAAGGCCACGGGAAGTATCCCTGAGGGAAATAATGTAGTCCGCGTGTACTCTTCACAACCCGTCAGCCCTCGAGCGTTAAACACCCCGAGGAAAGTCAGCCTGTGGAATTGTTGGCAGGTTCCAGAGTTGAGTAAGTTGGGTTTTGTTCGATGCCTATGATTCACCAGATCCATTCAACACAATTACTTATTCTCACCCTCCAGGCGCTTTCCGGCCATGTGAGGCTCTGCTGGTTCCATGAGGCTTTTGCATGCAAGATTTTTTAAAAAAAATTATAATAGTCTGTTTACTGCTCCTCCAGCTACTTTCCTTTCATATCACAGATTTCAAAAACATAATTAAAGGATGCAGTGGGGTTTCTTTTCTTACATCAAACCCACAAAATTATACATAACTACAGAGCTCCCTGAATGTTTCTTATTCAAGTATCTTCATTAACAACAACACACACGCAGGACAATAAGGTGTTTTCCTGGGAAATGTCCAGTTGTAAATACAATGTTGAAGCAGCTGACAATTTGGGGGAAATGTTAGACCTTGAGACCGTCTTGTTTTCATTTCTTCTTTTTATTTGTTCAGTTCTATTTCCTGGCCTGTCAAAATGGGTTTAACTATTTCAGGGGCTTGCTACTCCAAGTTGGGTCCGCTGGCTGGTAGTTGGTTAGAAACTAGAATCGGAGAACCAAGATGGCAGCATAGGTTAACGCCGGAGTTTGCCGCCTCGAACAACCATTTCAAAAGTGAAACTAAAAGACGGAAGGGACATCACCCAGACCCACAGGAACGCTGGCTGAGTGGAAGTCCTACAACCAGAGTTGAGTAAGTTGGGTTTTGTTCGATGCCTATGATTCACCAGATCCATTCAACACAATTACTTATTCTCACCCTCCAGGCGCTTTCCGGCCATGTGAGGCTCTGCTGGTTCCATGAGGCTTTTGCATGCAAGATTTTTTAAAAAAAATTATAATAGTCTGTTTACTGCTCCTCCAGCTACTTTCCTTTCATATCACAGATTTCAAAAACATAATTAAAGGATGCAGTGGGGTTTCTTTTCTTACATCAAACCCACAAAATTATACATAACTACAGAGCTCCCTGAATGTTTCTTATTCAAGTATCTTCATTAACAACAACACACACGCAGGACAATAAGGTGTTTTCCTGGGAAATGTCCAGTTGTAAATACAATGTTGAAGCAGCTGACAATTTGGGGGAAATGTTAGACCTTGAGACCGTCTTGTTTTCATTTCTTCTTTTTATTTGTTCAGTTCTATTTTCCTGGCCTGCAAAATGGGTTTAACTATTTCAGGGGCTTGCTACTCCAAGTTGGGTCCGCTGGCTGGTAGTTGGTTAGAAACTAGAATTGCATAGTTGGTTAGAAACTAGAATCGCCAGCCCCACCCCAGACCTCCTGAATCAGAAGCTACATTTTGGAAAGAGCCAGGTGACGGGTTCACACAGTCTGCTCTGAGAAGCACCGTGCCAGAAGCGTCGTCTTGCCTTTACCTGGGTGCTCAGAGTCTCAGCCCTCATTCTACACCTGAGTAGACACCCCAGTATCGTTTCAGAAAATGCCTCTACGTAGCACAGGCCCTGAAAAGATCGGAAACGGTCTAGAGTGTACCCCAATCTAATCCTGGTCTTTCCAATAGCAGTGTCTCAGCCCATGCCAGGTCCCAGACAGCAGTCTGTCACCCAAATCCCTCCTTATCCCTGCTCTCCACAGCACAGGCGTGTGTGTGTGTGTGTGTGTGTGTGTGTGTGTGTGTGTGTGTGACCTTCAGGTGGGAACTCGGCCATTGTGTGTATGTGTGTGTGACCTTCAGGTGGGAACTCAGCCACTCCTCAGTTTATGATCTTTCTCATCCTCATCCAAGCAAGGCCCTTCTCTTGGAAATGTCTGTTTTTCCTCCCTCACCTCCATTTTAAAGCAGCGGTCGCCAACCTTCTGGACCTCGCTGACCACCAGTGGTCTGCGCACCACCAGTTGGTGACCGCTGGTTTAAAGCACTCACTCTAATAAATTCACATGTATTCTTTGTTAAAAATAGATTTTTACTGATTTTTTATTATATATTTTTAAATATATTTCTTTATTGATTTCAGAGAGGAAGGGAGAGAGAGGGAGAGAGATAGAAACATCAATGATGAGAGAGAATCGTTGATTGGCTGCCTCCTGCACGCCCCCTACTGGGGATCAAGCCCACAACCTGGGCATGTGCCCTGACAGGGAATTGAACCGTGACCTCTTGGTTCAGAGGTCGGCGCTCAACCACTGAGCCACGCCAGCCGGGCATCTCCTGTTTATTTTACAAAACCTAGAAAACGGAGACCATGCTGACCCCTCCCTCGTCCTAATTCCGCCAATGCCAGCGGCCTCCCCTCCCCCGGGGCCCAGCCCTAACTTGCGTTTAGTGCTCTCTCCTTATCCTGGGTTGTATTTGTTTGGCTAATGGCCCCCAGGAGACCAGCTGAGGTTGGCGATGCGCCCTCTCCTGTTTCCCACAGCACCCTGCGAGTTCTGGGAAAGTGAAATCCACACGGAGGCGACTTGACAGCTTGCAGAAGGCAGCGCACGGAAAGGCGGAAAGGCGCGATGTCGGTTCCAGCCCGCAGGGACGCGGCAAGAAACAAGCGCTCCCTGGAGACAGAGCGAGGCCGCATCGTGTCTGCCTTATAAACTGCATCCGACACCACTGGGAGGAGTCGCCCTGGAGCCGAGAGGAGAGCCGTGGGCCTTGGTTTCCCCGAGACATGAAGAGCGGGCCAGGCGCTGAGAGCAGGAAAGGGCCGGCGGCTGCCGGTGATCTCCCCTGTGCAGCCCGCTCCCTCCCTGACATCCTGGGAGTCTTGGGTCGTGGGCCAGCAGCTCTCAGCCTCCATCCTCGGAATTAATTCTGAGAATATAACTGCGTTTCCTGCTGCACAAGCCTTCGGCCTGCCCTGGTGCCCAGTGAGGCCTGGCGTCCATAGCAGCCCTCCCTAAGCTCAGTCTCGCCAATCACACACTCCAACCGTCCCAGCCGGAACCCAGATCTCACTGCCACCCCCTCCAACACAACTGCTCAGCAAGGTCAGGTCACATGAAGACAGGAGGCAGGCCTGCGAGGACGGCTAAGGAGACAGGTTGCACTTGGGGAATAAACTTGTTGAGGTCAAAACGCAAGTTGGAGGGCACTGCGGGAATTGGCTGAGCGCCCAGAGGTGGTTGCCCAGAGGCTTCGTGGGGGCTGGGAGGAGAGGGGGGGACGGAGACCTTTAAAAACCACTGCCCGTGAAGCTCTGTGGTGGGAGCAGCGTGCAGGGGCTCCAACGTTCCCACCCTTCCTGGCTGTGTGACGCCGGGTGAGTCACCTGCCTCTCTGAGCCTGTTTCCTCTTCTGTAAGGCCAGGTGCATAGCAGCCCTCACTTTCCAGTGCTCCTGTGAGACTAAAGGAGACGCCCATGTAATGGCTCCATGAATCCCTGAAGGTGGTTAGCCCCCAGTCAACGTTTGCAGCCATGCCTCCGTGCCCCCAACATTCCTTGCCTTGCTTCCACCTCGCAAAAGACTTGAGAAGTAGGTGAGAGCGTTATGCCCATTTTACAGACTCGGAAGGTGAGGCTCAGAGGAACTGGGTGATTTCCTGAAGATCCTATGGCTGCAGGGGCAGAGCCTGGATGCACACCCCAGTCCATCAGCCTCCTCACCCCACTCCTCCGCACGAACACCAAGAAGCTCCTGAGCTTACGAAGCAGCTCACCCAGCACAAATAGAGACACATTTGATTCCTTCCTAAAATGGGGATGGCAACAGCTGTGTGCATACATACAGCTTGGGATGAGGAGGGTGCATTATGGAGCCAGACGGCTGGGTTCAAATCCAGGCTCCGCCATGAACTTGATATGTGACTGTGGGTCACGGCCTCCGTGTTCCTATCTGTAAAATGGACAAAGTAATGTCTATACCCACCTCATGAGAATGAATGACTAAAGAGCTTAGGCTAACACCTGGCCCCAAGGCGGCTCTCAGGAGACATTAGCTGAGACCACCCACCTTTTCCAGATGGAGAGGCTGAGTGCTCCAGGGCGGAGACTGGAAGCTCAGCCTCTAAGTTTCTTCCCATCCTCCCCTAAGGGCCCAGCGCATCTGCCGGAAACCAGACCCTCCGGCTGAAGCATCTCTGTCCCCGTGTCAGCCACCTCCCATGTATATAATTCCTCCCACCATCCTGGGACTCCTGGTAAAATATTAAGTAGATGTACTTTTGAGTTCTTGAAGCTTTGTCACTTTTTAGCACACAATCAAGAACTTAAGCCTCTGGGGTGAAGAGCGATGTAATTATGACAGAGATTAAAACAGTATTTAAAGGCTAATTGTGCCTTCAGCGACAAAAGTCAAAAGGAAATAGGCAGGTGATGGGGACATTCAGATTCAAGACTGATGGGAAATGCCTTCAAGTTCAAGCGCAAACGCGGTCTGGAAACAGAATATGTTTTCCTTCTCTATGGTGAAATAAAACGCTAATTGAGCCACAGAATTTGCCAGGGGGAACGCCGACGGAGGCGGATGTGATTTAATAAATAGGGGAATGCGCAGTGCGGTGATCGCACGCACCGATTCGCGCCGTCGGGATATGGTGTTGCCAGGATTGACAGAAAACTGGCAGCAAGCACACTCGACACATTTTAGAACGATTGCCAAACTATGTAAAAGTGCCCAACGCTCCCTAACAATTTTAAAACATCAGTGGTACACACTCTCATTTTCAAAACGTGTCAGAACGCCAGTCTCTTTCCCCCTCAAAGGCGAGGGCTTGGAACACAAGGACGGGGACCGATTTCCAGTTTTCAAGGGTCCTGGGTCTGGGTGGGGATTCTTTCCCCCAGGCGCCGTGCGTGTGTGTGTGTGTGTGTGTGTGTGTGTGTGTGTGT